CCCCCCCCATTCGATCCTAATCAGATCGGTCAGTCATGATGGTCAAGTACCCTGTCTCGACAGACCCCACACGGAGCACAGCGACTCCATTCTGCATTGGAGCTCCCCATTTCCCAGTCGGTTTGTGATCATAACTTCCATCAAACTATCCTCGATCGTTGCCCTCCCTTCAAGCAACGCGGAAAAAGGCACCTCCGTCCAAACATTCGCCCACGGCCTCCCATCCAGTAATCCGGTGGAGCTGAATGGTTGCTCTCGCGCAACGTTGTTGAGACCAAACCATCGGAGTCATCGGTCCCGTTTGTGTGGTAATCAGTAGGTAACCGGAGCCTCCACCGTATTTGGTCCAGCAATCCATAGCTTGAAATCTGACCCATGATTCTGTCCATTCAAAGACGGACTGTCTCGATGCGATCTATTCATAAATTACGCCCTTCAATATCGCATGCTTCTCAACCATCATCCTCTAATGCCTCGAAGTAACTTCCGAAATCGCCCTTTACCACGTATTAAATGATTAACAAACAATCAACCTTGTTCTCCAGGGGCACCTGCTTCGCCTCTAACATCCAAAAAGTCCAACGGAAATATTATCCCTGAGGATGTCTACAATACAACTCCAGTATTCTCAGGTGGTACAGTTAGCCAACCGGTCAATTATTCAACATCTCGATACACTTTGTATTACAGACCATGACGCAGTCTGCGACTGAAAATAACTATGATGATGATGAGATATCCAACACACCACGTTAGCTATCCCTGCTACAAGCACTTCTCATGCCGACTACATGCTCCTGTCTAAAAGGCGTACAGTACTTCTTACATAGAATATTCAGACAACTTTTAACTTACTCCACTCCTCGTGGTTCATAGCAAAGTATGTCCCACCCCATTGTCGGCATACAAAGATGACGCCATCCTTTCAAATTCGTCTAATAAACATTCGACGCACCATGATTATCTCCAACAACCATTTGTTACACGCGTAAAGACACAAGCGCCGGCTGCGAAGACACACGCAAGCACAATTTCTATTTAACTGACACGCAACCGTTCCTTATAATGCAGGCTGATTGACGCTTAGCACTACTGAAACCATCTTCCTGCCAAAAGTGTCCATTGTGTGCCAACAAAACGTGGCTGGGCAAAAATGCCGAAGGTAATTAGGCATCTACTATTCACCATAAGGCTGACTTCACCTTCCCATGCGAGCCTTTNGGTTCCCTTCTTATGCTGTGGGAAGCAAGTCTAGTTCAGAGTAGTGTGGCTGGGCAAAAACGCCGAAGGTAATTATGCATCTACTATTCACCATAAAGCTGACTTCACCTTCCCATGCGAGCCTTTCAACGGGATGGTTTTGTTAAGGACGTCGACTACAGCCAATCAGGCAAACTTTATGTCTTTCTTGACGACGTTCAAGCACTCTAATAGAACTGTTTATGTACATGCCGGGCGATGGTTTTTATTTGACTTTTGAGGATTCGATCTCATTAGCTCACGTTTTTTTATCAGATGTAGACTTTTTCCCGCTTCTGACGTTTAAAGCAGGTCAGACCTCGGGTCTGTAGTAACAACGACCAGTCTTTTTGTGATCAAGAATTGGAAAAACCTTGTCCTTGTGCCATATCGACGTCCAGACTTCGGCAAAGCTTACGTGACCATGGAACTGCGCGGGTTGCACCACGCTCGCGTGGTTACTTATAGGAAATCCTTTTTTGAAAAACATAAAGCCAATAGGTTTTGAAGGACTTTATCTCTTGCTGAAACCCTTGCAACGGTTTCAGCACTCACGTGACCATTATTTCCCGACCAGCTGAGCTGTGACCCTTGCGGTTACCACATACAAGAACAGCAGGTTTCCCCCTGGTGGCTGCAATGAAGGACTTCTGAATTCTTTAAGCTCACGGCCTGGTTTTTGTCGGCCATGTAGGCAGCACAATTATCAGGGGAAGCAAAAGGTAAAAAGTTCTCCCGGAGACAGTTTAGTTTTGAAATTGGCAATTTAGTTAATTGATGGAATAATGGTGGCGACTGCTGTCGTGTGATTACCTTTTAAGGCTGTGTTCAAATTTGAGGATATAAAGGCAACGGACTGCCATTCATGAGATGAATCAGTGAATCCCCAATAGACTCAATCAAGCGAATGGGTTGCGTTTCGAAATGGTCCCGAATTGATATTCCAAAACATTGAGATTATCTTGGTGTCAGAGCAGTCTGTCTAGCAAATATGTTATTTATCGCGCAGTCGCCGTTCCCTGTGGGAGGTAGAAAATAAACACTGACTGTCAGATTTGCTTTGGTGAAAATCGTACTCAAGCAAGACGGGCGTTCCTGATACTGTTATGCAAGCTGCTAATGACTTCGGATCAAATGGCTACCAGAAAAACACCTGGTAACGTAGCCTTTACGACGTTGAAGCTGTTTCGATAGATTCACGATGTTCAGCAATGGCCACGAAGAATAAACGTCGGATCCAATTTCGGGTCAGCGCTGCAGTCTTTGATAAAAAATTGCAGAGACTAGCACCATTTGTAACGGGTTCAAGTTCACAGTGCGCTAACTGTTTTAGATTTCCCGCGCTGTGCTGAGGGTGGATAAGTAGCAGGTGTAAGCAAGTTAGACAGCAACTTTGCCACCCAACTCGTGTCATTTGGAAGGACAAGAAAACAACGGCCGGTGAGTTATCCTGTTTCTCACTACTATCAAATATTTTTCGATTATGATACTAATTTAACAGAATTGACCGCGTCTCCAATCTCATGATTTTCTAACAATCTATCACATCAGTTCTTCTGTGGTTCCTGCTTCATTTCGCATGGTCGCTTCAGCAAGTCATCAAAGTCACTGAATATAATTGTTGCGGTCTGATGGTAAACGCCTTTTGACAAGCACCTTTGCATGTGAGTTGTTCAAGGTTTAACGTTTGCCAGGGCTGATGGAGCTGTCGTAGTCTCTTGGTGAAATTCAACATTATCCGTCTGCTCTTGCTAATATGATGGCGTATATCCGAATTAGAACATGTACCAGAGATGCTCTTGATTTGGTCTGAATCGTTCGCGAATATCGGTTGCCGTACTTCCCGAGGTTGCAGCCCCAGCTTGGTGATAATTCTCCCCGCCACTATCGCACGCGCGAACAACGGAGCTTCTGTGATATCCGACATCTGAAGTGTTTTTCCAGTCTCAGATTATTTTCTTTGTTTTTCAAATGCTGCTTTCGCCTGCAAACAGAGAACTTCGCCGGAGAATCGAAATTCTCGGTGTCTCCCTTATCCAGATCCAGATTTGAAATTCACTTGTTCTGACAGAAGTATAATAAAATTGCGCGTTTTCACTGCGCAGAAAGACCGATGCCATCTATCAACGTCATCACAGCGCACTTCGGCACATCGTGGTTTTAGATCCAGTGTTGGTTGCCCACATTAATGCTTCTGAACCGACAGCACGATCCTATTATTAGAATCTGTGTTATGGCCACGAAGATCTCAAGCCTATTCTGGCCCAAATTTTTGGCCGTGCATCGTCAATGGACCTATTAAGTGCTAATATTATCTGATGAGCATTGAGCTTCGCAACTCGTACACTGTTCTTGGATTCGTTGTTAGGTCTACTGTGGACTAACTGAAAGACCATCATTACGTAAGGCGGGTCATAATGAAATGCTCACAAAACCGTCCACAAGTCCGTGCTAAATTCCGAGTAGAGTTCCTGACGCACTTCAGATGGGCACGCACTACTTCATCCATTTGGAACTTGATGTTTCAAATTAAGTTGGAGGCATTTTTTCCTAACAGTGTTCCTTCTCACTTTTAAACTTGAGCCATCATTATTTAGTTGGCTGTTCCTTAGAAGAAAACGTTTGTGTAGGGCGGGTCACTAAACGTTGTCATGGTTTCCGAGGTCATTTACTCAACCTCGTGGCGTTGGTTGAGGCCATATGGTAAGGCATATAAATCAGCTCTGTTTCCAGGAGTTACCGTACCTGGTAATTAACGAAACTGGCTAATGTTCCTAGCCCCTTTCTCCTTTATGCAGTCGTCATACAATATTCGCGGCAGGCACTCGAGTTCTCCAGGTTGATACGATTCAAACGCTACACTGAACTAGACTTGCTTCCCACAGCATAA